AGGTCATGGTTAAGAACCACACTTGATCTGGACCACTTACCAGCAGTGCAATCCTGGGCAAGTTCCATACATACTCTATGTCTCAGTTTTATCATCCAAAAATTGAGACTAATAATACTTCCCTCTGAGGGTAAGTGTGATGGTTATATGAGATAATACGTGTGCCACACATAGTTCCCACCCAATAAATGTTTGCTGTTGTGACTAATGTCTCGTGGTAAGGTGGTTGTTACCTGCTTGGAAAGATGAGACAAACAATTACATGTTAGTAACCATGAATCCATTATCATTGAGTAGTTAACCCACACTTATCAAATGTGATTTCATTCAGTACATTATCTTCAATAAATACATCAATAATCTAAGCTATGAGTCTGAAAACAAGGTACATTGAAGTACTACAACATGTCCTTTATGTGGTTGCTTAAATTTAATTTTTATTTAATTATAAAAACTACCCATTACTAAAAATTGGCAGAATAGTGAAAAATAGACATGAAAAAGTAATCATCATTTAAAATTTAACTCCAGAGAACCATTTTTAACATTTTAATATAGTTTCTTTCAGTCTTTTTTTTTCATGTATTTTAATAGCTGAGATCATATGAAATATACAGTATAATTTTCTATCCTTTTTCCTGTTTAGGCTTGTACCAAAGTGTTTCCCAAATATTACATAAAACTCTTTATAAATATCATCATTTTAATGGTGGTTAATATTCCAATTGCTTTCGGTGACTCTGTCTTGATTCTCATGTATATCTGCAATCATTTCTTGGATTTTCAAAGAGCATAAACAGTTTAAGGCCCATGAAACTGATACTAAGTCCTAATGCAGGATTCTACTTTGGATATCATGTTATCACCTCACAAGAACCATCCATCTTACTTTCAGAATTTGATAGAAACCATCTCTGCCTTGAATCCCATCCATTTTTGTTTGTTTGTTTGTTTTGTTTTTAAGGCAAGGGAAGGAGAGGTATGTTATCGGTATCAGTGTTCATACAAAATGTTTTATGATTTCTTCCCACACCCTCTTCTATATGAAACCACCTGCAGACAGCTCTGTGAAGGAATGGTGGCCATGTTCTGTAACACATGGCCCTACCATCCAACACACACAACACAACACAACACACACGCACACACACACATTGACTGAACCCAGGGTGGACTCTAACCCAACGTCAGTGACCAATGACCTATGAACTGGAGTGGCTCGACTTGAAAATTAGATTTCTCTCTTAATAAATTTCATTTGGAAATTGAAATGACAGGGGCAAATATCAGTGAGGGCAGCAATTGGATCTGTGTCAGAACCAAAGAGTTTTGGAAGACTAGAAACTTTAAATAAGCTAACCTAATAAGGAAAGAAGCAGAAAGATAATTATAGAAAAGTGGAGACACTGCGAGATCTTCCAAATGACTTCCTGATTGACACAGCTAAAATGTCAGCTAAAAAAAAAAGTTAAATTTCTTTAAATGCATCAATGAGCTGGATTAAATAAAGTTTTCTGTAGATCAGAAAACTTTGGCTGGTAAGTGATTACCAAAGCTGGCTTTCACCCTGAATGTTTCTGCCAAACCCTGGAGCTTTTGAGCTTCTGCTCTTGAGGGCTACTCAGAGCTAGAGGCCCACCTAAGATGGGCAATCTAAAACCATCATATAATGTTGGAGCCCCAGAGAGCTACACCTTCAATGTACAAATGAATGAGAAATAGACCCTGTTCTATAAAAGTTGGCAGCAAGGATCATGTCCCTCTTGATCTTGGTGCTGAGTAGATGATTAAACAATCTCCCATAAGTGTTCACAGCCATAAGCCAGTCCTCACATAGCTTGCGATCCAAATTCATGCTAGCTCTGTAGTCTGAAAAACTTCAAGCAGAGAGTGTAACTCCTAGAGTGCCTGGGAGGGTAGTCCCAACTTCAACCTAGGTCTCAAAGGATTCCCACGGATAAAGTTTCAGAAGATCAGGCAACTCTCAGGCAAAAATCTCTTCAAAGAGAAACCATGAGGGGAAAAGGCCATACAGATCTTGAAAGAGAATTGCCTTCACCCTGCAGTTCCTGGCCTTGGATAACCAAGAGATTCTCTTTAATGCTGCAATAAAGTCTTCCTTTAGGTGATCAAAACTTACAGAGACTTTGTTCTTTAAAAAAATATATATCACAACTCTCTTGTTATTAGTTTTTGTCCCTAAAGAGTGGGCTGACAGCATGGATCTTAAGGACAGCAGTAGCGAGTTCGTCTAATCGCTATTATCCTTTGTTGTTACCACATTGGTTTCTGAACTGCACCCTGCAGCCTCAGCCCTTTGTCATCACCAAGTGCCAGTGATCTTATGCATCTCTCTTTATATCTATTTGAGTGACACACTGGATGAACAGAGGGGCTTACTGCGTCCAAGTGGGACTTGATTGCCGAAGAAATGCATTAGAAAACTCTTGAGGGAAATCTAGCTTATGCTAATCAAACACAATTTGGATGATTGTAAATGCCTGGGAATTAAGGAGAGTGAAACCAAAGAGGCAAAGGGCTGGCTACCTAATTCCCCACAAGGACTGAACACAAGAAATAACTAGTCTTATCATTTTAGACACAATGGGAAATAATCCGGAGCCGAAAGTCTGGTCTTTGCAGATAAATCTTCCACAGAAAGGTGAATAAAGCAACTGTTAGAGGGCGATGAAAAACGTAATATGGCATGATTACGAAAGACGGCATTTTGTAAACCTGTGCTCTTCTTCTGGGAATGATCACACTGCTTCAAATCCCCAGGCCTGCCGATGGGGATGAAAATGTCTTCGGTTCTCCAGAGAACTCTGCTGGCTGGCTGCCAGCAGCTGCTGAGACTGCTTGTTCTTGAAATTCTCACGGGCACTTCTGTTTGTAGTCCCACTAAACAAACAAACTGCCTGGTTGTTGACAAGACTCTGATGGGTGGACATTCAGGGAGTGGCCGGGAGGCAGAAGTGAACGGAACTCCTGACCTTCCTCGGAGGCTGAATTAACACGGTTTGGTTAACACAGCTAATCACAAGGAAAGAAGATGTGCTCCCAAGCCAAAGCCTCTGCCCCTAAGCTTCTTCTCTTTACTCTGTGAGGAATTATTTTGAGATTAATTGGGCTTTTATCTGGAACACCCAGTTGTGTGACCCTTCTTTGGTTCTGCACTGGCAAACCGGGACACAAATATTTTCTGCTGAAGGTCAGGTACACAGTGATATTTGAAAACAATTCATCATCAAGCATTAAGAAAGTGAGAAGAGCTTTCTGCTCCTTCCTTCCTTTGTTTGGAAAGCCATTTTCAAGTTTAGATTAAGTGAAAATTTTGGGTCCAGTAGTAGTGATTCTGTCAAAACAACAAATGAGATATTCTTCATTTGCAAATGAGCATGGGCAAAATTGATCTGATCTGTATTATACAGAATCCCTTTGGATACTGGGGCATTTAGGCTACAAAGAAGTTATTACAGCCCTAACTGGTTGGGCTCAGTGGATAGAGCGTCGGCCTGCGGACTGAAAGGTCCCAGGTTCGATTCCGGTCAAGGGCATGTACCTTGGTTGTGGACACATCCCCAGTGGGAGGTGTGCAGGAGGCAGCTGATCAGTGTTTCTCTCTCATCAATGTTTCTAACTTTTTATCCCTCTCCTTTTCTCTCTGTAAAAAATCAATAAAATATTTTTTTTTAAAAGAAGTTATTACATATTTCAGTTACCTCAGCAAAAGACTTTTTCTTCTCTTTTCTCAACGTGCTTCATTTGAAAAGAGCTAGTTTTCTCTGATTTGGGAAACTGCTCAAACTGTGCTTCCTGATCTTGTTTCTAGAACTCCCACAGAAGAGGGAATATATCTTAATGAATACAGAAATGTGTTTACACATAGAGAGAGAGAGAGTGTTAAGAAAAAAAGTTATACTTTTAAAGAATGCTGCTTGGAGTTTAGCCTTGGTAAGTTCTGATCCAACCAGCTAGTCCCCTAATTTAAATCACCACGTATTTATAAAACATCTACATCCTCAAGGCATGGACCAATTAAGTCAAACATCAACCAAGGGAGGGATCTGAAACTAGTTGAGTTTCCCAAAGTTCATCACTAAGGGTCTCAAACAAAAACACGATCTTTTTTTTAGTTTGTGAATTCTGACTTAGTTCAGTAGAAGGCTTCATATGTAATGCTTATCAGAGAATATACTCAACACCTTTGTTTATCACTGAGAATCCATTCCTACTAGAAAACAAAATGTCATTTTTCTCACCATTATCACCACCAACAACAAACTCTTACCAGATGAAAGGTGTTAAGGTCTGGTAGAGAAATCAGAATATACAAGAGGGGCTGCAGAAGGCTCTGAATACAAAGGGGCAGCACAAGAGGGTCTTTGTGGCATTGAACTTGCTCTGTACCTACAGTGATTACAAGAGTCTATGCACATGTGCAAATTCATAGAACTGTAACCAATAAAAGTGAACTTAACTGCATGTAAATTTTTAATGTTTATTTCTAATACATAAGAGGAATACAGAGGCAGATTTACTGTGGAGCTCATGCTGCAGATCCCCTCTCGAGCACAGCTTCCCCTTCCAAGGCCTTGTACCTAGTTGGTACTCTTTTTCATAAAGAGGGCCACACCCCAAACTGTATAAGGACCTATAACATTTGGATTTGCCCTTGGAGGTATGACTCTAAAGTAAATAAATTTATTTATATAAGTCAAATATCAGGAAAGTTAAATAATAGGATGGGGCAAAAAATGCCAAACTCTGGGAATTCAGAAGGAAAGTGATGACTGATGATTAGGGATGCCAGTGAGATTTGGGTTGAGCCTTTATAATGAAGGGTCTGACTTAATCTTTGATGTCTGACTGCTGACAACTTTCACACCATCATTTTCATACCCTTTCTGCCCTACATCTGGGTAAGCCGATAAGAGACTTGGTTGCCTCCTCCTATGGTGCTGGCATAGGTTCAAACCACTCAAGCCCTGGCCCTGTGAACTCCCTCATCCCAACCCCACTCTATAGTCACAATAAATGTAGAGCCAGTCTCTTTTCCCTGTTCTCTCAAGCCAATTTCAGACTATTTGGGAACCTGTCTCGCGGTCCATTGGAAGGTCCAGTATGTGAGTAATAAGCCTTTTCATACCCTCTTAGTGCATGCATGCATCATCACTTTTGACATCAAAAGCAAATTTGGGGTGGAAACCAAAAATTGGATGATGGGTCCATCCTGTTCTGTTTCTGCAAGATAACCATAACTGTCTTGAAAATTTATGTAATTTAGTACACAAAGAAGAAAAGAAGGGCATTTCACAGCGAGAAATTGCTTACACAAAGACGTGGAGGTGGAAACAAGAAAATTGTATTTGCAGGGAAGTGTAATTGAAACTACAAGTTTTCATAGATGAGTCAGAAGGGTGGTAATAAGACAGGACGATAGGTAAGGATCATTGAACAGATTAAGAAATTCAAATTGTTTCTTTTATGCAGTAAGAAACACTCAAAGTTTTTTAAAATAGGGAGATAACAGAGTCAAGTAAGTATTTTAAGATTATCTATCTAGTTATGGAACATAAAATGGGTTGAAGGCAGAGGGGTCAAGGGAGAAGGAAACTGTCCTATTATTCAAGTATAGGATGATAAGAGCCTGGATTGTTTTACTGTCAATTGGATGGGAAGGAAGGAAGGGACTGTTCATACATGGATTGAGTAGACTCTAAAAACAAAACCTTAAGAACTACAAAAAAAAATCTTAAGCTCTTTTCAGTAATCATTTTGTTGGTAGTAATGTTGGTATTGATATTCTGACATCGATCTGTGTACTGTGGGGAAAAAGAAATGTGCAATTACATGATATTCTATTTCTATTATTTCAGTGACATTGAGAGACGGGATTCGCCATGTAGAATAAAGTATAGATGTAAGAAATCAAATATATTAAGTAAGAGCCTTGTTGTCCTGATAATGAGCTGGAAATATCATTTTGAACTCCTAATTTTATTTTTAAAAATAAATCTTTCCTAGCTCTGCCCATTGCAATGGCCCACCACAATGATTCTTTCAGTAGCAATAAATATCCTCACACCAAAGTTTTGTCTCCAAATCACATTTTCAACTAAAAGGAACTGGAATCCTTGGGGACATGTTTGATTTCAGCTCTGGGGCAAGGAAGATAGAAGTTGATCCTGGAAGATTTTGTCATAACGGATAGCAAGCATGTTATCAACTGGAGTCTCAACGGACTCCAGAGCGTACCTGAAGAGGCTCTCACTGGCCAAAGATGGAAAAATTTGAATACCTTTACCCTCGAGTACCTGAAGAACTTGAAGCAGAAAGTCTCCAGACAAGAAGAATGGGGCAGAGAAGGGGGTAGAGATGCAGTACTGAGCTGAAAACAGAGGTACCAAGTGAAAATCTGCATTCTAGATGCTTAAACTTCAGCCTTTCCCACTGCCAACTCTAGACACAAGCAGCCAGTCCTACACCCCCAGACAGGAGTATCCTTCTCTGAAGGAGATGAAGCTGAGGAGACAATACAGGCTAACACATTGGGAATTCTGAGGAGACAATACAGGCTAACACGTTGGGGAGCTCTATGCTCCCCAATTGTTCTTAACATAATGAGTAATCGTTAACATAAAATATAGAACATTTTAATAAAAAATATTTTCTTGAACATTGACTTACCAGACACTGAATAGCTGCACAAATTAATAAGCGTAACACAAATAAACCTATTTTTCTTGTTCTCCAAAAGAGGAATATTTCCCGTTGTGCACACCAAACAAGTCAGTACAAGACTAATGACATGGCAATCAGCTGCTAAAGTATTTGCTGCTAGTATTAGTGGAGAGAAGTGGTGTGCCTGCACATAAGGGATGTAAGGGAAATGAATGCAACACGATTATAGTAATCAGTCATTAGCGAATGTTGTAGTTCATTATTAATAATTATGTATAACAAGATACTGTAAAAATTAAGTTATGAAATTTTTATTAAAATGTTTCTTACATACTGTTATATTGGCTGGGCCACAAAAATATTCATTGTGGGCTGCATGCGGCCCATGGGCTATGAGTTTGACATGCTTGTCCTAGAGAATGTGCTCCATCCAAATGAGAGAGAGAACTCAAAAGAAGGAAACACAGAATCCAGGAAGCAAGGTCCAACACGAGAATTAGCTGAAAGGAATTCCTACATTGATGGCAAAGAAAACTCCCAGGACAATCATTGTAAGCCTAGAGCAGTGGTCTCACACCCCAGTGAGTGAAAGATGATCACTGGGGGCACAAGAAGAAAATAATATAATTTTAAAATTTATTTTTATATTAGCCTTTTAAAATTTCTATTTTTGTTTATGACCCATAATATACATACTACTTTGTTACATAAAAATATATTTATAAACAAATAAATAATACAAACACTGGAGGTATGTACTTTTTAAAAACAACTGATAACAGTCTATCATTTAAAATATCTACAGGCTCCTTGCCTAGGGAGAAGCAGTTCAGGATGGACTGGGGGTCAGAGGCCTTTAAAGGAATTTTACAGAATAAAATAGAACTGATAAATTATATGACAGATTTGACCATGTGGAAAATTGTATAGAAAGCCTTTTTACAGAGCTATTGGAAGACAACAAGACTTAACATGTGTCAAAGAAATGTAAGCAAATGAACTTACAATTATTAATTCCAAGAAAAAACAAAAAATATACAAGAAGGGAAACATAGTCATGGCATATTACTTATATTAGTAGTAAACAATATTCATTTAATAATTATCATAAAAACATTAAATACATATTTTGCTAAAAAATAAAACATAATTACATTAAGAAGATTCAAGGAAGAGAGGGTACAAATAAGCAAAAGTCCTCACTACATGTACTCACCTGGGTTAATGAAGAAATAATAAAATATTAACATTAATTTAAAATATGGTGGTAAATATCAGAAGAAGCTGCTATATAAGAATTAGAAGTAGTTCCTTTTGGAAAAAGAAAAGAGTAGGTAAGGGTAAGTGGAAAAGGAATTGTTTTTTTAAGTGACACTTAACATAATGATTTCATTTTGTAGAATATTTGCATAAAATATTCGCATATTATACTTTAATAAAAATTTAAATGACTTTTAAAATTTATAGTAACCTATGTAAGGAAATATGCATACTAGGTAGTAATATTTTCAATAATGGTTAATATAGGAAACTATTAAAAATATGTTAAATGAAAAAGAGGATAAAAATTGGTAAAAAATATAGCTGTTTGGATAAATTTTCAAAAGTTAGCCAACTCCAAATATACATGTCTTTTGTTGGCATAAAATCTGGATGGAAATACATCAAAATACATTTTTTAAAATACATCCAAAGTAGTTATCACTGCATGATAAGCTAGTGGTCATTGTAATATAATTTTGTATCTTTCTATATTTTTTTTAACTATCCATAATAAAATATATCACTTTCTTAGGTAGGAGGAGAACTGTTTCAAAACTTCTCTGACCTTCGTTTACAATGAAAATTGCTGAATCGCAATCAGGATTCATGCACCTGATGTGCCCCAGACCACAGCAGCCTGAAGGATACAAATTGAGTAGCATCGGGTGGTGACCTTTCTTTTGCTGACTTTCAACCTGCCTACTATTTATTGCAGGGCCCTCCTCGTGCCAAGAGCTCCCACCCACCTGGCATTTCTGGGCATTCCCAGGGGTTGTCTCGAATGTGCTCAGGAACTGCCCATCTGGTATCAAGACGAGGCTGCAGCTTCTGCTGGGTGAAGATCTGCCAGGCACCTCTGCCACCCAGCAGAAGCCCTGGGGCCTCTGGAGCTGTCAGTCCACCAAAGCCGGCCTCTACCCTCCCCTCACCCTGAGTTACAATCTATGTAAGAGCTAGGAAAGAAACTCCATCAAGGCCCCAAGGTTTTAGAAAGCTTTAGCTAAAAAGAGCTCCTCAGGGATTTCATTTATTTGTTTGTAAACCTAAAGCTTGCACACACACACTGCAAAAATCAGTGCACAGAACTGGGCCAAAAGAAAATATTACATTGGCCTGACTCCCCTAATTAACTGGGGCTTCCGTTGAGCCAGACCTGCCAGCCGGACTGCCTCTTCCGTAAGCCCCGCTCTCCCTAGTTCTTCCCCTGGGGGCTCCCTGGGTGTGTCAGTAAAAAGAGTTTTGTTGAGCCCACCACAGACCTGTGGGAAAGTTCAGTCATGTCAGTATTCCAAAGGAGAGAATAGATAGGGGCAATTACTTACTCACGTTTTACAGATGGGGACACTGGAGCACCAAGGGGTTGAATAAATCGTTCAAGTTCACACAGCTCCTAAGTGGCAGTGTGGCTGCAGAGTAAGTGTTCTCACCGCACTGGCACGGGAGCAGGAATGAAACCTCCACTCTGTGCCCGGCTCCCTGTGCTAGAGACCACTGCCCTCAGAGACTTGACCACCTAGTGATAAAGTGACAATCTGGGTTTAGGCATCTGACAGAAATTGTAAGAATAACCTTATGCAACTACTATGGCAGGATCAGCCCTCACATGCAAGGGCCACCTCCTCCGTAAACTCTTCCTGGGGCCCCCCAGTCAGGACCGAATCTCATCCTGTCTCTTATTCCCACATCACTTCAACTCTAGAGAGTGTATCACTGTCTGATTCTTTTTACAGTCAGTGATCCGTGGTAGCTTCTCACACTAGAACATGAGCTTTGTAAAGACAGGACTCTTCTGGTTGCCCCTAATGTTTGCTGCAGTGCTCATCACCTGCCTGGCACAGAGAAAGTGTTCAATGAATGTCTTGTTGAGTTGCTCTAGCCTTGTGCTGAGCACTGGATGGGCATGCAATGGTTGCTGATTGCTGATTAAGTGAGGAACAATGCCCATTGAGGCCTCTCCACAGAACAAAGTGTTAGGTCAAACCCTGTGGAACTGTCATTGGCCAAATTGTTTAAATATGGACAATTTCATAAGTCCATTCAATATAAGAAAAATATTCTAACAGAATAGCCAATGAACCCTAGAAAGTGTTTCCTTGCAAAGTTTTGAAATCTCCCTTTCTCGTATATCTTTTATAAATTGACCAATAGCTGTTAGATATTATTTTGTAAAAGTACTGAAAAAGTCCAAATTCTAGATTGTAACTCCTCAAATATTCCAAAGCCTAGACAACAGAGATGAATTTGATTCCAACGACTTACTAGTAGTTCAGCATGAGTCCCTAGGGTCGTGTGCACAAGGCCAATTGTTAACAGTCCACCAGAAGAGAAAGTGGTTTTACTCATTGAGTAAATCTTGGCCCCAAAGCCAGCTGCGAAAGACACTCGGGTGCCTGGTAAATTGGGGTTTTGAGGTGCACTAAATCCCCCACTGTTCCTCGCCTCCCCTCTTCTGTTCCCTGACACAGGTTAGCAGGTGGATCTGACTGTGTATTGGTGTTTGGGGACCAGCATCTGTTTGGAAGGGAAGCCAATAATGGGGATTCCGTCCAATAGATAAGAATGTTCGTCAACTGGCAGCTTTTTTTGCCTGGCTCAAGCCTCCGGAACTGATGGCAATAAAGGTAGCTTACAGTGTCATTTATTCACATTTCACCTGGAAACTGTATCATTTCTTTGAGCTCTCTAGAAACCATTGCCTGGAAAAAAAGGCCCAAGATGCCTGTCAGACCAAACAATACCCATTATATTTTATTACATGGGATGAAACATGAGACTTTATGCTCCATTAGCAGAAGGTTTCATTTTCACTCCAGGAAGGGAGTTTCAAATTACTACATCTTATCTTGTTCTTTCTTATGTATTTAATATAAAGGACCTTAAATTCCCCCACGCCCACCACCCAGGCATTCAGAAGCTATATTATCAGATTTTACAGTCTGAGATAATGTGGTATTGTCAGAGTGCCGATATATATGTGGTGTATTCTTTTAAATAAAACTACAGCCTGATAAAAAGAAGAAGTTTGCTCTCTAGTGGCTGACTTACAAAAGGCTCTGAGAACCACACAATAAGCTATGGAATAAAAAGAGAAAAATTAACAGCAATATTTCTGTAACGAGGTCTGAGTAATTATTTGGCTTTTATGGATTTTTATAAGTTCCCTTACAATGAAAATCTACACCATAGCAAATGTGCTATGGATACTTTTCCTATTAAAAATTTTCCTGTCATTAAGCTAATTTTGATTCTAAATCCTTCGAGTAACAATTATGTTTCTGGTGTTTTATTAGCCTATTGTACCTTTAGAAAGCTCTGTGGATCCGTTTAATACCATATAATTAATGTCTATTATAGACATGTTGCCCAGTAATATAATATCATTAGAGCTTTTTAAACCATTTTTAGTTCTTTGCAGGAAGGTTATATATATTCAGGAAGAAATAGTGTAATTATTAATACAATGCTAATTAGTATCACTTTATTACTCCTTTTACTACAACCCACCTTATAAAATTTTACTGTAACGTGAATTATAAAGGATAAAAATTATTGTGTGCCCCTCTTAAACCTGCCTGCCCTGTTTTACTTCCTCATTTTATTCGCCAATCAGACTGCCTCTGTCTCCCGAAGTCCACATTATTGTTCCCAACTCTCTCCAGTACCTTCATCACATAACAGGAAGGAGACACCACCCCAGATCCCTGATGTTCCACCATCCACGCTTCAGAAAGGAGAGGGTTGCCTAGGAAGCTTTCTACCTGCACAGTAATCAATACTTTAAAATATTTCCAGATCAGTGAAGATTTCTGGCCTCATTTTACCTCTGAGAAAGGAATCAGATTGCATGAACAGGCTTAAATGTCTCAGCAGGTGAGTACTGCAGAAGTAAAGTACTAGACAATGCAAAGAGAAGCATTTTATGGGTTTGAGGAGCAGACGTGCAGGACAGTGTGGGGAGGGATAGTAAGGAGAGAAATGATGCCATCTGATTTACATTTGTGACATTATTCTGGCTGCTGTATGGAGAGAGTACCACAATAAGGACAAGAGTAGAAACAAGGAGACCTCTTTCAAAATGATTGCAGGCATGAGCACAGTAAAGAGGACCAGGGTAATAGCCGTGGAGCTGGGGAAAGTGAATGCGTTTCTGATGGATTCTGGAGGTAGAGCTAGAAGGTGGTGGATAAGAGGTGGGGGTGGGGGGGGTGAGGTGTGACTTTTGACTGAGCAAATGGGTGGGTGGAAGCCACTTAATAGAATTGGAAAGACAGAGAGAGAAGCATGTTGGGGAGGTGAGTGAAAGTGGGAATAAAGCGTTCTGTTTTGGTTGGTGGTGCTTCAGTTGGAGAAGAGGAGGTATCAGAGGAGGTGTTCTTTTGGAGATAGTAAGAGAAAATGTCAAGAGATGTCTACACAAGCAAATCTCCTAGAAGTCTAAAGCTTTGGCGAGATGTAGGGACTGGTGATTTATACTTAGAAGTCTTCAGGATATCAATACTATTTAAACATGAGATCCCCAAGGAGAAAGTTTGAATGGAGAAGAGTAAAGGCCTGGGTCTGACCATGGGACATAAACATTTGAAATAGAGAGGAGAGGGTCAGCCAGGAAGATTGAGCAGAAGAGCCCAGAGTGGGAGGAAGAGCTGAAGATAAACGAGGCAACTCTGCTAAGTCAGGTAAGACAGGACACAGAAGTGACCATCAAATTTCGTAACGCAGAGGTCACAGGTGACCTGTACCTCCCAATATAGGCATAAAACTTTTTCTCAGTGCAAATATGCAAGACAGAAAGAAACTAGTCACTGCTACATAGTGTTTGGGATTTTTTCCTATTATTTATGTTGATAGAAAGTTAATTTATACTCAATCTTGGATTTGGAATCATTTTCTTTGAATTATTTTAGACTCAAAATGGGCCATGAAAATTATGTTGGATTTGACAAAGGAGGCAAGAACATACATCGGAGTCAAGACAGTCTCTTCAATAAACGGTGTTGGGAAAATTGGACAGACACATGCAAAAAAATGAAACTAGACCACCAACTTACACCATACACAAAAATAAACTCAAAATGGATAAAGGACTTAAATGTAAGACGGGAAACCATAAAAATACTAGAGGAATCCAAAGGCAACAAAATCTCAGACATATGCCGAAGCAATTTCTTCACCAATACAGCTCCTAGGGCATTGGAAACTAAAGAGAAAATAAACAAATGGGACTACATCAAAATAAAAAGCTTCACCCTGACCGGTTTGGCTCAGTGGATAGAGCGTCAGCCTGCAGACTCAAGGGTCCCAGGGTCGATTCCGGTCAAGGGCATGTGCCTTGGTTGCGGGCACATCCCCAGTGGGGAGCATGCAGGAGGCAGCTGATCGATGCGTCTCTCTCATCAATGTTTCTAACTCTCTATCCCTCTCCCTTCCTCTCTGTAAAAAATCAATAAAAAAAGTATTTAAAAAAATAAATTAAAAAAAATAAAAATAAAAAGCTTCTGCACAGCAAAAGAAATCATCAACAAAACAACAAGAAAGCCCACTGCATGGGAGAACATATTTGCCAATGTTATCACCAATAAGGGTTTAATCTCCAACATTTATAGGGAACTCATACAACTTAACAAAAGGAAGATAAACAATCCAATCAAAAAATGGGCAAAGGACCTAAATAGACACTTTTCAAAAAAGGACATTCAGAAAGCCAAGAGACATATGAAAACATGCTCAAAGTCACTAATCATCCAAGAGATGCAAATCAAAACAACAATGAGGTATCATCTCACACCTGTCAGAATGGCTATGATTAACAAATCAACAAATGACAAGTGCTGGAGAGGATGCGGAGAAAAGGGAACACTCATGCACTGCTGGTGGGAATGTAGACTGGTGCAGCCACTATGGAAGACAGTATGGAGTTTCCTCAAAAAGTTAAAAATGGAACTCCCATTTGACCCAGTGATCCCACTTCTAGGAATATATCCCAAGAAACCATAAACACCAATCAGAAAGGATATATGCATCCCTATGTTCATAGCAGCACAATTTACCATAGCGAAGATCTGGAAACAGCCTAAGTGCCCATCAGCAGATAAATGGATTAGAAAACTGTGGTACAACTACACAATGGAATACTATGCTTCTGTAAAAAAGAAGGAATTCTTACCATTTGCAACAGCATGGATGGAACTGGAGAGCATTATGCTAAGTGAAATAAGCCAGTCAATGAAAGAAAAATACCACATGATCTCACTCACTTATGGATAATAAAGACCATTATAAACTGATGAACAAAAATAGATACAGAGGCAGAGCAGCATCAAACAGACTGTCAAACTACAGCGGGAAGGCTGGGGAGGGTTGGAGGGCGGAAAGGGGAGGTAATCGAAGGACTTGTATGCATGCGTATGAGCATAACCAATGGACATAAGACACTGGGGGGTAGGGGAGGCCAGAGGAATGTCAAGGGGGGAGGGGAAAGGAGACATATGTAATACTATTTGTAATACTTTAAGCAATAAAACAAAATTTTTTTAAAAAAATGATGCTGGATGTCAGAAATGGAGTTGTGTTTCATTTCCCAAAGTAACTCATCCTCCCCACAGATTAGGTGATGAAGTAGAGGGAAGCTGAGATAAAGGAGAAAATAACCAGGAAAGGGTAAATTTGACCTAGAAATGCAAGATACAGGGAAGAGGGAAGCAGAACTAGAAAAAGAGTCCCTTGGGGAAGAAAGAGGATATAAATAGGGGGGGAAAGAACCAGGGATGGACTTTTTCCGTTAAGCATAGCCTGAAATGAAATTTGAAGTACCTGCCAGTCTCAGAGGAAACGGAACCAGACAGACTAAATATGGAAACATTTCTACTTCAGACTATGTGCCAAGGGTTGGGGAACAGGGACAGAGAGTAACACATTAAACAGAAGAGAGAAATTATAATGGGAACAGGTGGACTACAGAAGTTGCTTATTTTCTAAGAGCCTTTTTAAAGTTCACATAGCTATTTAAAACACACACTCCAAGCCTCCTTACTGGCTAGTGTCTGCATAGTTGTATCTCTTGTTAGGCTGTGGGAATGCCTAGGAGAACTCAAGTGGGAGACAGAACCAAAGAAGGATTGTGGCCATTAGAGTCCCCTCCCCACCCTTTTTTTAAAAAACAAAACTTGAAGTGTTGATATTTTTAGTAGCTTGAATAAGCACATTTTGAAAATGCACAAACTTAAATAATTACTAAAGGAACAAAAACCAGTTGATTCTGCTTTCTCACTCTGGACTGGGTCTTTGTTCAACTCACATTACAGTATATGCAACTTAATGCCTCACTAATAATATGATGTTGAATGAACACTACTGGGATTCCTTGGAAATGCTTGTTTGTACTAATTCCATAGAACTTACAGGCTCTCGGAGACATCAGTGAGTCATGGTCAAGTGGGGGTAACTTTTAGGACTGGCCAGAGCCCTCAGGCCAGGCTTCAGATCACACTTCTCATTTCCAGTCATGGCCTCCAATCATCAGGCAACCCCAACCTCCACCACTGCGGGCTCCTCTCACCAGGGATCCCAGCAGTAGGCGTGCTCGAGGTCCGAGGTCCAAGGTTAGAAGCCTCTCTTCACATGGTTTCCCTATGGGATTGAGTTGCTGGTTCACTTGCCCCATTTCTTTGCCACCTCAGACACTCAGAAACGTTACTGTCCAGGTTCCAACTTATTTCTCTTTTTCTGATTTGTGGCCATCCATGTTTTTTTTTCACTGTTATTTTAAAAACAGAGCACCCTGAATAGAAGTGGGGTACATCTCAGCAACTTGATGCAAAGAAACACACAAGTGGTCAGTGGAGGTCAGGTGTGTTTCCCTTCTCCTGCACAGAAGCACAGGATTGAAGCAGGCGCTTCCCCCCTAAAAGAAAGGAGATGATAATGTGGTTCATTGGCAAGAATAACTGGGGAGAAAATAATGGTTGATGAAATGACATTGAAATTATTTCAGGACTTCTGTCTCTCCTGCAATTAAGAAGGGAAAAATCAAGAAAAGGATCAATATTGATTTGTGGACCTATTATCTAGAGTAGACCAGAAATATTGCCTTCTCAGTCTACTGTGCTCCCATCCCTGAAGCACCTACACAGGAGAGACAACCCCCAAGTCTTCACCTCCAGAACCAAACTTCAATCAGAATGTTCTTGAGCACTCTCTGGTTCCTTACTAAATTAATTTTAAGAAGACTCCAAGCTTAGGTAATGCCAAGTCATACCAGAAAGTTATGTTCTTGGATCTTTGCTGAGACTTTGCAGACTAATTATGGCAAGTTCAGGTAAGTCTCCTCTCCATCACAGAAAAGTTAAAATGGAAGAAATCTCAAGAGGCTTCCAATAATTAGCTCATGTTGCAAGGGTTTATCTGAAGAAAAATAAATAAATAAAGATGGCAGCCCCACCCAGGGGCTAAATTCTACTTTATAGGATGATAGTAAGGCTCACAACCTCTCCTCATCCTTATGGTTTCAAGCAAACATCTAATTTGCCTCAACATTTCAACGCAGTGGTTCCTATAGTTTGGGGTGTTTGCCTTTTGAATTGACATTAAGGCATAATGGGAATCTAGAAAGGATAAAGAAAAACAGCTTTTATAGGTTGTTTAGGTTTCTGAACTGTTTCAAGGAGAAAACAAGCCAAATATACACATGTGTTTTAAATATAGCACCCTGAACAGCAGTGGTATGTGCATATGTATAATCTTGGTTTACCCCTAATTATAATAAATTCTTAGAAGAGTGCATGATTCTATATTTTACCTTACAATAAAAAAGGAACAATTAATTATAGGCAGGGACTAGATTTGGGGGTAACGAAAGTAGGGGAAAACACACATATTTTGATATATTTTTCTTACTGCAATTGTTGCTAAGGAAACCACTTCCTATCTATACACTGCATATATATATTTACCCTATTTGTTATTCTCACAAAGCACATTATATCACATTTAAAAACTTGAGGACAACAGCCCAGTAACACATACTCAAGGGCACTTAAAGCTTAAAATAATTGAGAAAAGATTAATGAGGCTGTCTCAAGGATTAGGGAACATGGTGCACTTAGCAAAGAAAAAAAGCTACTCTCTATTGTTGGTATTTAATGTCCAATCCAAACTAGACTTAATGCCCTTGAGCCTCAGAAAAGAGGTTTCTTCTATTTCTATGGTTCTACCTCCCTTGGGTAAGAATGTTTGAAGACATACTTCATAGAATCATACAGAATATGACAGCTTACAATAATCTAAGTTCCTCATTTTACAGTGAGAAGGCAAAGAGACTTTGCCACTTCACGGAGAAACTCATGAAACAAGAGTCATTTTCTGACCCCCAACACAGGAATGGGAATTCAGGCAATGCTGTCTGATGGCTGGAATCTTAGAGTGAGAGAACTCCTGTCTTTCCAATTCAACTTGCCTTGCATAAGGGAAATTCCCAGGACATTTCATTTTTATTCACACTATGGGTTTGAACAATCATGACTTCTTGCTTAATCCATCAGTAAATATCTATGCAGAGCTCCCAGTGCTGGGGAGATAAAGGAGTTTGAGGGTAGCTCAGATCTCAGGGGAACAGATGTAAAAAGGATACTTGTTCAGCTCTCAAGAGTGCTCTCCAAAGCTGGTAGAATCACACTCGCAAAACTTTTCTCACAGTTTTAGAAACTATTTAGCTCACATTTTTTCTCTTTTTCTCTCTTTCCAGTTCCTTCTCATTGTGCCTTTGTTGGCTACATTAATATCTCCAAAGAGATGTTCCCCAAAAGAAAAATAAAAGAAGGGACTAGGAGCAACTAAGAGACAACCAAGAGAAAAAACAGGTCTTTGATGTTATACATGATTAACAATGATGATGGAAAGAAGAATTTTATACCAATTTGGCTTTCCATTGCTGAAAATCAAAGTTATTCTAAACAACCGGCTTCAACACTAGTTACTTAATCCCTTTTTGTCCCCTAACAAGAAACCCCTTAGACTACCTGAAGTTAATTAGAAG